GTGTTCTAATGTACCTGCTGCCCTTGTACCTTTAGATAGGAACATAAGAAAAACAGTAGGCCGTTCAGCCCCTCAAGCCTGTTTCACCATTCAATGAGATCCTGGCTGATCCGTGGCCTAACTTCATATATCTGCCTTTGGCCTGTATCCCTTAATACTTTTGCTGAAGGAAAAATAAATGACCTGCCTACATTCAAGGTGCTATATAAATGCAAGTTGTTGTCATTGTCTGGGTGCAGCACTGACTTCCAGAACTGGAAGCAAAAGAATCGGAATACCAACTGGAGGTGTGGAATTTCTGAGCAGCTGCACAGTTTAGAAGGAGAATTGCGTACGGGATGATCTTACAGGAAATTTAATTGAAACGTAACATCCTGAGGGGACTTGACCAGCTGGATGTTGTGAAAGAATCTAGAACTAGGGGTCACTGTTTAAAAATAAAGGGGCAGGGAGAAAGTGAACAGAAATGAATGAAATGGATAAAACAACCATAAGAAAAACCCCTTTGTACACTTGACAATATTTGAAACTGACTCACCTTGTACGGTTTTGCCCAGATAATCTCCTTTCCTTTCTTTGTTAATCACCGATTGGTAGATCTTCCCCGTTGTAATGTTGTTGTCTCTTGTTAAACGGATGTCTAGAAACCGCTCATAGTTTCCCAGATCCAAATCTACCTCACCGCCGTCATCCAACACAAACACCTCACCTGCACAACCAAAGGAGCATCCTTTCACACTATTCACTTCGGGTTTTGCAATTCATCAGATGCAGCGATAAATCAGCAAAAGGAAAACTGGGAGCAACTCAGGTAAACGACAATCACCAGAGTGGGTACTGAATAAATGTTGGAACTCTGAGCTTGATAACCTTTCTCTCCACCTCGGCCTTAAAAAATATTCAAAGACTCTGCATCCACCGTATTTTGAGGAAGAGAGATCAAAAGACTCATGATCCTTTGTAAGAAAAATATTTGCCTCATCTCTGTTTTAAAAATAAGGGTTATTTATTTTTAAGCAGTGATCCCTGGTTTGTAGATTCACTCATAAATCCCCGGATCCTGATGGACTTCATCTTTGCTTAAAACAGGCACAGTTGGTGTGTTGGTTTTAATTTTCCAAATTAAAATTTCCCTTGATTTGCAAAAGGTCCCATTAGATTGAAAGATAGCAAGTGGCATCTTTACTCAAAAGGGAAGCAGGAAACTACAAGCCACTGAACTTAATATCTAGGGAAATGTTAGAACGCTGTTACAAAAGACGGTGTAGCAGAGTGTTTAGATACGTTCAAGATAATCAGGGGATGATTTTGTGAAAAGGAAATGATATTGACTGACAACACAGTGTGGGGCTAAAGGAACACAGCAGGCCAGGCAGCATCAGAGGAGCAGGAAAGATGATGTTTCAGGTCAGGACCCTTCTTCAGAAAAATGATGTTGACTAATCTATTTGGGAGCTCTTTGAGGAAGTAATGTGCGCTGTAGATAAAAGGGAACCATTGGATTTCCAGTACTTGCATTTCAAGAAGACATTTGATAAAGTGCCATATCAAAGTTTATAATTGACAATTAAAACTCATGATGTAGGGGGTCAGCATATAGGCAGGGATAAAATACTGGCTCGCAGACAGCAGCTGTAAGTGGGTATTTTTCTGGTTGGCAAGATATAACAAGTGGTGTGCCACAGGGATTGGTGCTGGGACCTCAATAAAAGACTTGGATGAAGGTACTGTACACATAGTTGCCAATTTTGCTGATGAAACAAAAACAGGTCAGAAAGTAGTTTATGAAGAAGACATAAGGAAGCTACAAATAGATATACAGATGTGGCAAATAAGAGTATAATGTGGAAAAATGTGAAACTGTCCAACCTGGCAGGAAGAATTTAAAAAAGCGTATTATCTAAATGGTGAGGAATTGCTTAGCTCTAAGATTCAGAGGGATCTGGGTGATCTAGTGCATGAATGACAAAAGGTTGACAAAGATATGGAGAAGATGTTTCCTTTTATGGGTGAATATACAAACAAGGGATCACTGTTTAAAAATAAATAACTCTTATTTTTAAACCCATTTATAACTGAGATGAGGCAAATATTTTTCTTACAGAGGATGAGTCTTTTGATCTCTCTTCCTCAAAATACAGAGTCTTTGAGTATTTCTAAAGCAAAAGTGGAGATCTTAATTAAACCAAGGCAATGAAAGGTTATTAAGGTAGGCAGGAATGTGGATTTGAAGTTACAATCAAATTAGCCAACGTCTTACGAAATGGCAAAGCAGGCTCCTTGTTTGTATGACATACTGCACATACCCTTTAGAACACTACTTCCAAAAAATTATTTTTTTGTAATGATAAAATGGAGTTACTCCATTGGATGGGCAAGCGAAAGAAAATTGCATGTCTTTTCAAATGTTGCTAAACAAGTTCTGACTTTACCTGTTATGCCCTTATGTGTTAGCTACGTAAGCCTGACTTGCGAGGCAGGCTAAACAATACTTTATTAGCTATACCCGCCAGCACATGCCCTTGGATTTGTGGGCAATGAAATGCTGTTTGAATTGTACTGTAACTTGAATCATATCATGGGATATTGAATCAGCTTCAGTCGCCATTTTCATCCAGATCAATTAAGGTTTTCTGGCCAATATTAATACTTCAAACAACACCATCAGCGGATTATCAGGTCATTAACTCCATGTTGTTTGTCGGAGCTACCTGTGTGTGAATGGACTGTCCCAGTTTCCTATATCATGACAGACACCATCCTTCTCAAGTCTTTTCCCAAAAGTTTCAGTGATCACAGCTAGATCACCACATCAACACGTAAGTATATAAAAAGGCAAGTTGCCATACAGCCAGAGGACTGCTCGCTCATTGGAGATAGAGACGACTGGTGATAGTTTAACCCAAGAGTCACAACACCTTGGGTGAGGGGTGAGGTCAATACTTCCATGGTGCCCTGAGCTGGTACAAGAACTAAACCCACTCTGTTGTTTTCTTTATCAATACGTAAATGTTCCTCCTAGAGTAGGAGCAAAACTTGACCTTCTCTTGGGTAACAAGACTGGGCAAGTGACTGAAGATTAGTAGAGGAAAGCTTCAGGTCTAATGATCATAATTCTATTAATTTTAAAATAGTTATAGAAAGCGATAAGCCTTCCACAAAAGTTAAAATTTTTAATTGGACTAAGGCAAATTTTAATGGTATGAAACATGAGCTTTCAGAAGTTGAAAGTAGATTGTTTGCATGTAAAGGGGCACCTGATAAGTGGGAGACTTTCGAAAGTGTGATAATGAGAATTCAGTGTCATTATGTTCGTGTAGAGTGAAAAGTAAGGCTGGTAGGAATAGGGAGCAATCGATGAATAAAGATAGCGAGGTTCCAGTCAAGAATAAAAAAGAATCATATATTAGGTATAGACAACTGGATTCAAATGAATCTCTTGAACAAGACAAGTGGGTAGGTGCATTCTTAAGAGGGAGATCAGGAAGGCAAAAAGGGGATATGAGATACTTTTGCCAGATAATCCAAAGAGATTCGACAAGTACATTAAGAGCAAGAGAAAAATTTGTGAAACAGTCGGGCCCTTGTAAGATCAAAGAGGTTACCTTTGTGTTGAGCCTCAGATGGGAGAGGTATTACTTTTTTACACTGGAGAAAGAAATGGAGGATACAGAATGCAAGGTAATAAATACTGACGTTTTGAAAACAGTTCACATTACAGAAGTGGAAGTGCTAGAAGTCTTAGAAAATATAAAGGTGAATAAATCTCCCGAACCTGATCTCGTGTATCCCAGGATGTTGTGGTAAGTTAGGGAGGAAATTGCGGGGCCCCTTGCAGATATATCTGTGTCATCTATAACTACGGGTGAGGTGCTGGAGAACTGGAGAGTGGCTGCTGTTGTGCCTTTGTTTAAGAAAGGCCATAAGGAGACGCAGCAGAATGACAGACCTGTGGGTCTGATTTGGTGATGGCTAAGTTAGAATCATAGAATCCCTACAGTGCGGAAGCAGGCCATTCAGCCCACTGAGTTCACACTGACCTTCCGAACAGCATACCACCCAGACACCCTACCCCCACCGCCCAACCCTGAACACTCTATCCTTACAACCCTGCATTTCCTATGGCTAATCCACCTAGCCTGCACATCCCTCAACACTGATGGACAATTTAGCATGGCCAATCCACCTCACCTGCACATCTTTGGACTGTGAGGAAACTGGAGCACCCGGAGGAAACCCACACAAACACGGGGAGAATGTGCAAACTCCACACAGACAGTTGCCTGAAGGTGGAATCGAACCCGGGTCCCTGGCGCTGTGAGGCAGCAGGGCTAACCATGGACTGAATCAAATAGGCTGAAGACTGGCATCAATGATGTTGGCAACATCTGAGGTAGCCCAAGATGGATTATATGCTCAGCACCACTGTCTAAACATCGTTGTAATTGGTTCAGACTCATCTTTTCGGCTGATGTAGTTGGCTTCCCCTTCACAGAGGATGGGGATATTTGTGGAGTCTCTTCCTCCAATGAGTTTAATTGTCCAGCAAGATTGATGATGTGATGTGGCAGAACTGCAGAACACAGATTTGATCTGCATGTTGTGGAATTGCTTAGCCTTATCACTTGTCACTGCCCAGGATGTTTGGCCAGCAAGGTGTCCTGTTTAACAGCTTCACCAGGTTGGCAGCTCATTTTCGGGTTTGCCTAGCAATGCTCTGGATATGCTTTCCTGCAGGTATCAGTGAACCAAGGTTAATTCTGGCTGAATCGAGTTCTGCTGCAGCTGGTGGCCAACATCACCTCATGGATATCCAGTCCTGAGTTGCTATATCTGTTGAAATCTCCTGGTGGGACAGGGCATACTTAACTATGGTGATGCTGTTGTATCGGACATTGTGAATATGACTGTGTCAGGCTTTTGCTGGAGGTATGGTTAGTAAGTTTGCAGATGACACCAAAATTGGAGGTGTGGTGGACAGCGAAGAAGGTTATCTTAGAGTACAACAGGATCTTGATCAGATGGGCCACTGGGCCGAGGAGTGGCAGATGTAATTTACTTTAGATAAATGTGAGGAGCTGCATTTGGGAAAGGTAAATCAGGGCAGGACTTATACACTTAAGGTCCTGGGGAGTGTTGCTGAACAAAGAGACCTTGGAGTGCAAGTTCAGTTTCTTGAAAGTGGAGTCGCAGGTAGACACGATAGTGAAGGTGGTGTTTGGTACGCTTGCCTTTATTGGTCAGTGCACTGAGTGTAGGAGTTGGGAGGTCATGTTGCAGCTGTACAGGACATTGGTTAAGCCACTACTGGAATACTCCATGCAATTTAATGGTACATTAACAACATTTAAAAGGCATCTGAATGGGTGTATGAATAGGAGGGGTTTAGAGGGATATGGACCAAATGCTGGCAAATGGGACTCGATTAATTTAGGGTGCCCGGTCGGCATGGATGAGTTGGACCAGAGTCTGTTTTCGTGCTGTACAACTCTATGACTCACCAAATTTTGGCTCTATCCCCAGAAGGAAGGAGGACTTTGCAATATCGACAGGGCTGCGTTTGCCATCATCATTTCTGATGCCTGGGTCAATACCAAGTGGCGTGGACAGTTTCATTCCTTTGACTTTTTAACCACAGCATCTTTCTAGGCTATTTCGGGCAGTTACAAATCAGGCATATTGCTGTGGGCCTGGAGTCATATGACCAGGTAAGGACAACAGTTTTCCTCTCAAGTCTAGTGTATTTGTTCGAGGTTATTCTGAAAGATAGGATTTATATGCATTTAGAGAGGCAAGGAATGAAAAGGGATAGACAGCATGGTTTTGTGGAGAGAAATCGTGTCTCACAAACTTTATTGGAGTATTTTGAGGAAGTAACCAAGAAGATTGATGAGGGCAGAGAGGTAGATGTTGTTTACTTGGACTTTAGTAAGACCTTTGACAAGGTTCTGCATGGTAAACTAATTAGTAAAGTTAGATCCCGCAGGATTCTGGTCATCCTGTTATAGGACGGATATTATTAAATTGGAGAGGGTTCAGAAAAGATTTACTAGGACGTTGCCAGGGGTTTGAGTTATAAAAAAAATGCTGGATAGGCTGGGACTTTTTTGACTAGAGCGTACGAGGTTGCGGGGTGACCTTATAGAGGTTTATAAAATCATGAGGGGCATAGGTAAGGTAAATAGCAAAGGTCTTTTCCCTAGGTGGGGGAGTTCATATTTTTAAGCATATTTTTAAGGTGAGAGGAGAAAGATTTAAAAAGAACATGAGGGGTAATGTTTTTTTACACAGAGGGTGTTTCGTGTGTGGAATGAACTGTCAGGTGAACTGGTGGATGCAGATAGAGTTATAATGTTTAAAAGACATTTGGATAAGTTCATGAATAGGAAAGGTTTGGAGGGATATGGGCTAAATGTAGGCAAATGGGACTAGTTTAGTTTGCGAACATGGTTGGCATAGAGTGGTTGGACCGAAGGGTCTGTTTCTGTACTTTATCAGCAGAATATACGCAATTAATTGTTACCTTATTTTATTGACTTTTTAATATATTCATTCACAGGAAATGGGTTTCGCTTGTTCAGTCAAATTTTATTGCATAACCTCTAATTGCCCTGGATTAGGTGGTGGTCAGGCACCTTGTTGAATCGCTACAGTCCATGTGGTTTACGTAGCCCAGAGAGCTGCTAAGAAACTAATCCCTAGATCCTAACCCAGTAGCAGTAAAGGAATGGTGTCATTGTTCCCAGTCAAGATGGTGAGTGTCTTGGAGGGAAACTTGTCGGGGATGATGCTCCCATGCATCTGCTGCCCTCTTTCTTTGAGGTGGTAGAAATTATGCGTTTGGGAGACGCTGTCAGAGGAGGCTAGGCGAGTTGTTGCGGTGCATCTTGTAACTAATACACACTGTTGTCACTGTGTATCAGAAGTGGAGGGAATTAATGCAGAAAGTGGTGGATGGGGTGCCAGTCAAATGGGCTGCTTTGTCCTGGATGGTGTCAAGCTCCTTGAGTGTTGTTGGAGCTGCCTCCATCCAGGAAATGGGGAGCATTCCGTCACACTCCTGACTCGTGCCTTGTAGATAGCGGACCAACTTTAGGGAGTCAGGAGGTGAGTTACTCACCTCGGAATTCCCACTGTCTGACCTGCTTTTATAATTATATGATTGCATAACCTCTATAATTGTGATATTTACCACCAATAAAAATCACCACCTTGAAGAATAAATGTCTGCTTAAATACTTCTAACTATACTATAGTAAGAATAGAGCACAGTGTTAAGAGTAGGGTAGGATATACAATCAGGGTACAAAATACTTTACCATGTTCATATGGGGAGAATGTTCCAGCATCAATATTAATGTACGGGTCGATTTTGATTGAGGTGACATGTAGCCCACAAGACTTCAGGATGGTTCCAATGCTGCTGGCAATTATACCTTTTCCAATCCCCGATATCACGCCACCAGTCACCAAAATGTACTTCATTTGTCTTTTGGTCTCTAGACAGCGCACAAAAACAAAGAACAACATTAAGTTCTCAGATCTTAGCGAAATTCAACACACAACAATAATCAGTGTTATTTTCAGTTCTAGCTCTGTGGAGGATGTGCAATGAAGGTCCACCAGACTGATTCCTGGGATGGCAGGACTGATGTATGATGAGAAATTGGATCGGTTAGGACTACATTCACCGGAGTTTAGTAAAAAAAAGGAGGGGTGTTCTCTATAAAATTCCAACAGGACTAAACAAGGTAAATGCAGAAAGGATGTTCCTGATGACCAGGGAGTCCAGAACCCAGGATCACAGTGTAAGGACATGGCATGGGCGATTTCAGACTGAGACGACGATATATTTCTTCATGCAAACAATGGTCAGCCTGTGGAATTCTCTGCCATAGGAAGCAGTTGAAGCCAAAACACTCAATATTTTCAAGAAAGAGTTAGATATTGTGCTCAGGGCTAAAACGATCAAGGACATTGGGTGAAGGTGGGAACAGAATACTGGTTTGAACATCATATTGAATGGCGGATCAGACTCATAGTGCTGAAGGGCCTACTCCTGCTCCTTTGTTCTATGTTTCTGAATCATTCTCACCTTATATTTATAGAAGGAACAAAAAAAAACTTGCTGCATTGCAATAGCACCAAAATAGATTTCAATCTAAATTTTCCTTTAAGTCTGCTACACATTTCAGACCCGAACCCTCAAAATTACAGGTTTCTCACAAACTAATGGATGATTTAGATGCTCAGGTAAAAAGGAAAACATGCAAAATGTTGACTGCTGCTCAGTTTCTGTCATTATTACAAGTAGTTTAATTTTGAGTACATGATCTAAGCTGATATTTCAGTGCAGCTCTGAAAAAATGCCAGTTTTCTGATAAGACCGTAAGTTACAGAAGCACAAGTGGGAGTAGGGCATTTGGATCTTTGAGCCCGTTTGAGACTTGATGAGCTCAAAGCTAAATCTCTATTTTCCTGGCTATATCCTTTGACGTGCTGATGAAATCTTAAAGCAAGGACCTCACCCTCACTCTCGGATGCAGGTACATGATCTCACGGTACTCTTCGGATAAGATCAAGGAGGCTCTCCTGGCATTAGTTAATTCGCCACAAAAGCAGATTACCTGGTCATTCATTCACGGTTGTTTGTGGAGCTTGCTGTGTAACTAGTGACTTCCTTGTTTTCTTTTAGTGCAACCGTAACCTAATTTCTCAAGTCTTTCTGCGGCTGTGAAGTACTTTGGAGGTGCTCAACAAGAACAATTATTATCCTGATTGGAATGTGTTAAGCAAGAAAATGTCTTTGAAAAATGCTAAACATGCAACAATCAAATTATTTCAAGTGTGCAAAATTTGGTGTTAAAATTTCCAATTTTCCCTCCTCCCCCCTGCAAGATACTGACTTATATTCGTACAGCACCTTTAGTGTTGTAAAATAAAGACAAAAACGAGTCATATAAGGAGGTATAAGAGCAGGTGAGCAAAAGCTTGGTCAGATGTATGTTTTATGGAGAGACTTTCTGGAAACTGGGAGCCAGGGAGGCTTAGAGAAGGATTTCAGAACTTACGGCCCAGATATGTGATAGCATAGTTGCTAATGGTTCGATTTAACCAATGAGAGTGAGAGTTATATGGCATGGAAATAGACCCTTGAGTCCAACTTTACCGCTCTGACAAAATATCCTAAATTAATCTATTTGCCAGCATTTGGCCCATATCCATCTAAACCCTTCCTATTCACACAGCCATCCGGATGTCTTTTCAATGCTATAAATGTAATCACCTACACCACCTCTGGCAGGTCATTCCATATGCACCACCTCTGCATGAAAAAGTTGCCCCTCAGGTATCTTTAAAATCTTTCACTGTCACCTTAAACCCACGTCCTCTAGTTTTAGACTCCCCTATCCCGGGGTAAAAAAAGAGACCTTGGTATACACCCTATCCATGCTCCTCATGCTTTAAAAAGCCTCTATAAGGTTATCCCCTCAATCTCTGATGCTGTAGGGATAAAAGCCCCAGTCTATTCAGCCCCTCCCTAAAACTCAAACCTTCCAATCCCAGCAACATCCTTGTAAGTAACCAAAAATATTGATGAACGACCAGCAGTAGACATTGTTAACTTGGACTTTAGTAAAGCTTTTGACAAGGTTCCGCATGGTAGACTGATTAAATCGCATGGGATTCACAGTGAGCTTGCCAATTGGATATTAAATTGGCTTTATGGTAGGAAACAGAGGATGGCAGTGGAAGGTTATTTTAAAGACTGGAGGCCTGTGGCCAGCGGTGTTCCATAGGGATCAGTACTGGGTCCACTTTTATTTGTCATTTATTTAAAAGATTTGGGTGAGAATGTAGGAGGTGTGGTTAGTAAATTGCGGATTACACCGAAATTATTGGTATCGTAGACAGTGTAAGTTTTCTAAGATTACAGGAATCTTGATCAGTTGGGTCAATGGGCTGAGGAGTGGCAGATGGAGTTTAATTTGGACAAATGCAAGGTATTGCATTTTGGTAAAAAATACAAGGGCAAAACGGATACCATTAACGGTAGGGCCCTGGGTAATGTTGTAGAACAGAGATGCCTCGAGATTCAGTTACATAATTGTTTTTTTTCATAGAATGCCTACAGTGTGGAAGCAAGCCATTCGGCCCATCAAGTCCACATTGACCCTCCAAACAGCATCCCACCCAGACCCACCACTTACCCCATCCCTGCATTTCCCACTCTAGACACTTTGGACGATTTAGCATGGCCAATCCACCAAACCTGCACATCTCTGGACTGCGGGAGGAAACCAGAGTACCTGGGGGAAACCCACGCAGACACGGGGAGAATGTGCAAACTCCACACAGTCACCTGAGGCCGGATTCGAACCTGGGTCCCTGGTGCTGTGAGGCAGCAGTGCTAACCACTGAGGGGAAGACTGGGTGGTTAAGAAGGCGTTTAGCACGCTTGCCTTCATTGCTCAGACCTTTGAGTATAGGAGTTGGGACGTCATGTTGAGGTTGTACAGAAAGTTGGTGAGGCCTTTTCTAGAGTACTGTGTGCACATCTGGTCACACCGTTATAGGAAGGATATTATTAAACTGGAGAAGGTTCAGAAATGATGCTGCTTGGCCTGCTGTGTTCATCCAGCCCTGCACCTTGTTGTCTAAGGTTCAGAAAAGATTTACCAAGATGTTGCCAGGAATGGAGGGTTTGAGTTATAAAGAGAGGTTGGGTAGGCTGGGACTTTTCCCTTGGAGCGTAGGAGGTTGAAGGGTGATCTTATGGAGGTTTACAAAATCATAAGGGGCTTAGATAAGGTGTATAGCAAAGGCTTTTTTCCCTAAGGTGGGGAATGTTCAAAATTAGGGGGCACATTTTTAAGGTGGGAGGAGAAAGATTTGAAAAGGACATGAGGGCAACTTCTTTTTTAAACAGAGTGGCCAGTATGTGGAATGAACTGCCAGAGAAACTGGTGGATGCAGATATAGTTAGAACGGTTATAAGACATCTGGATAAGTACATGAATAGGAAAAGTTAGAACGGATAATGGGCTAAATGCAGGCAGGTGGGACTAGTTTAGATCAGGAATATGGTCGGTGTGGACTAGTTGGTCCGAAGGTCTATTTCCATACTGTATGATTCTATGACCCAATAAATCTTTTCTGAACCCTTTCAAGTTTAACAACATCCTTCCTATAGCACTAAAGCCAAAATTGCATGCAGTATTCTAAATGTCCTGTACTGCAGCAACATGACATCCCAACTCCTTCACCCAATGCACTAATCAATAAAGCCAAGCGTACCAAATTAAAACAGAACATTTTCAAGAGGCTGGCATTGGAGGACTATGGACATATTGGAGGATTGTAGGCAGGAGTACAATAATGATGGAGCGAGGGGGAAGGCTTTGGAAGGTTCAAAAAACAATGGTCAGAATTTTAAAGTAAGAGGTGTACAGACAAGAAGCAAGTCTATCTCTATGATGTTTACTCCTATGCATTCAATAGAGTTTTGATCTAGAAATAGAATGATTCATCAATTTTCTCTTCTTCAATCAATGAGTGTGGTGACCAGAAACATGTTACTTTGGAGCTGGGATCAAATCTGCCAACTTACTGCGATGCATTACTGAGACAGATCAATGGTCACGATAATGGGATGATCAAATTTTGCACGCTGCTGCAGTACAGTATCAATTCCAGAAAAAAAACATGTTTTGCATTGGATTATTTCAAGCCACTGAGTAACCTTTACTGACATGCCAACACTGGCCTAGCCAGTGACACACAAATATCACGAGTGAATGAAAAAAAGTAGATGATAAAATAAAGGGTAAATGCAAAGGTGCGCCAAATTAAGGCAGGTTAATTTAAGATGTACAAATACCGAATGTGTCTTAATTTGTTTTCACAAAATCCAGCTGGAAGACAGTTTACAATCACCACCCAGTTGGTGAACCAGTTATTTGACTGACAAATTACAATGTTTCAATGGAAAACATCCCTAAAACCACCCTGAAATCAGCAGGCTACTGCCCACCAAAACTGTCCTGAAATCACCTAACATCCCCTAAATCACCCTGAAATCACCTGGAATCCCACTAAAAACACTGCGAACACCAGGCATCCACTAAAATCATCCTGAGATCATCAAGCATCCCTAAAATCATCCCAAACTCACTAGGCATTCAACAAAATCTCTTGGAAGTCAACAGGCACACACTAAAATCACCCTGAAATCACCAGGCACATACTAAAATCATCCCATAATTACCTGGAATCCCAGTAGAATCATCCTAAAATCACCAGGCATTGGCTAAAATCAGCCTGAAATGACCTGGAATCCCTGTGAAATCACCCCGAAATCACCAGGCATTGAATAAAATCAGCCTGAAATGACCTGGCATCCCAGTAAAATCACCCTGAAATCACCAGGCATTGGATAAAATCAGCCTGAAATGACCTGGAATCCCTGTGAAATCACCCTGAAATCACCAGGCACTCACTAAAACCGTCCTGAATGAACGTGTACTCCCCCCAAAATCATCAGGGACCCCGCCAAAACCACCGAGAAATCTATAAGATCACCCTAGGATCCATGCCCCAAACGAGCGGGGGGATCCCGAAAGAGAATTCAGCAGGTTGCAGCCCAGCAAAGTGACCAGGGGCCGGGCATGAGGCTGAGCCTGGGATTTTCCTACAAAACCCTGCCCCAGTCTCAGGCGGCAGAAGCTGCCTTCTGATAATAATAATAATAATAAAAGAAAAAGAAGCGGGACTTCCTTCCATTGCAGCGAGGCCTCGCTGTTGCAAAAGAGAAACAAAAAGTCCGGGTTTAGCATGCTGTTTCTTTTTTTCCCCAAAAGAAGGGAAAAGGGAAAAGAGAAATGCAGTCGGAGCCCCCGCCAGCACTCACCGCCCTGCACCCGGTTGCAATGAGTGAGCCGCAGCCTCTGGAAATTGCGGAGAATTCTCCCTGAAACTGGCAACATCAGTTGGCAACACTCACCAAACACACGTGTGAGCAAGCTCCGGAGCTCCTGTTTCAGAGCAGGCCCTCAATGCAACTCACGATCCCAGACAGAGAGAGAGAAAGAGGCTCCTAGTGGTTGGCTTTGTGCCTGCTGCTTTGTCTCTGGGTTTTCGCTCATTAGCTGCAAAAACTCCAAAACAGGCAACTTCTCGATCCTAAAACATGCTGCCCAGGGCCACAGGGCTGAAAGAAAGGACACAAAAAGTCTGCAAGCAAATAAAACAAGGAACTCCGGATGCTGGAAATCCTAAACAAAAAAAAAACAGAGTGCTGGAGAAACTCAGCAAGTGTGGCAGCAGCTGTGGAGAGAAGTCAGAATTAACATTTAGGGTCCAATGCACAGAGAGGTGTGTAGAGGCACCTTCTGAGGAAGACCTGAAATTTTAACTCGGAGCAACCAGCATCTGTGGAGAGAAATGAGAGCTTATATTTCTGCTAAACCTGCTGAACTTTTCCAGCAAAATTTTCTGAAGAAGGGTCCAGACCCGAAATGTTCCTGCTCCTCTGATGCTGCTTGGCCTGCTGTGTTCATCCAGCTCTCCACCTTGTTATCTCAGATTCTCCAACATCGGCAGATCCTACTATCTCTGAGCTTTTCTGGCAATTTCTGTTTTTGTTTCTGATTTACAGCTTCCACAGTTCTTTCGGTTTTCACAAAGTTACTGGAGAAAATCAGCAGGTCTGGCAGCATCTGTGGAGAGAGAAACAGAGTTAATGTTTCAAGTCCAGTGACCATTCTAGAACTCTGCTTTCTCTCCACATGTGCTGCCAGACCTGCTGAGTGCTACCAGAATCTGTGCAGAGACACTCAGTCAAGTTTGAGACTCCAAAGACCCTTTTCCGCATCATTTCAATTAAACACTTCAGAATGTAGCCAAGCCAAAAGCTTACTTAAAATCCCTAAAACAGGGGTCACAGTTGAAGGATATAAGTGAGGCCATTTCAGACTGAGATGAAGAGAAATTTCTTCACCCAGAGAGTGGTGAGCCTGTGGAATTCTCTGTCACAGAAAGGGGTTGAGGCCAAAACATTGAATGTTTTAAGAAGGTGTTAAATATAGTTCTTAGGGCTAAAGGGATTAAAGGATGAGGGGAGAAAGTGGAAACAATGTACTGAGTTTGATGATCAGACATGATCATATTGAATGGCAGAACAGGCTGAAAGGGCCGAATGGCCTACTCCTGCTCCTATTTTCTATGTTTCCGAACTGTACTGTAGAAATACTCCTTAGAAAACACCTTCCAAACCCATGACCATGAAGGACAAGGGCAGCAGATACATGGGAACACCACCCCCTGCAAGTTCCCCTCCAAGCCACTCACCATCCTGACTTGGAAATATATTGCTGTTCCTTCCCTGTCGCTGGGTCAAAATCCTGGAATTCCCTCCCT